ACTCTTACTTCTTACTCCGTGTATTGTAGACGGGCCTGAATGTGAGAAGAATAATCGACTGTGATTGGTCAATTTCTTACTCTTACTTCTTACTCCGTGTATTGTAGACGGGCATTTATGCGTTATGCAAGAATGTGTGCTGCGGCCTTAAAGCCTGCGGCACGCGATGTTTGTTTTCTTGCTAGATCGCTAGCTGGATTAGAATCTTGTCACCATTTATACTGGCACTGCGCATCGCAGCCAATACGGTGACAAGATTGGCTGAGTTCAGCAAACTCAACAGTTGAATGAGCGCTCATTGTTATTGGTGCATTCTTTTAGATCGTCCAACCAGATTTTAGATTTAGAAGAATACATCAATAGCAGCGAGCGCTCACTTAACTGTTGAGTTTGCCGAACGCAGCCATTCTAATTAGGGATGCGCAATTTTTACCGATTTATCGATTCGACCGATTTTTTGGGCAAAAACGGTTATTTTTGGCCAATGACCAATACTTTTGGAGGCCAGTTTAGTGATTTTCGGTTTTTTTTAAATTAAATAACGTAGCAATATCGTAGCTGCGTTCCGGTATTCACTAGGTCTGTTTTTTATTGCTGAACTCTCCGAACGGGTGCAGCAATAAAAAACAGACCTAAGGCCGGCTTCACCAACGCCGGTTAAGTTAACTGACCAATCGCAGTTGCTGTTTAGTAGATCAATTGTACTATAAAGTCATTTCGAAGAAATTGGAAATCTGCAGTGTCGGTAAGTAGATTTAGGATTCCCTTAATAATTAAAAAAATGTTTGTGCTTAATTTTCAAATACTAAAAAAAGAGAAAATCAATGTAACGATTTTTTCCGATTTTTTGAAAAATTAAAAAAAACAAATATATATCAAGTTTTCGATATTTTCCTCCTAATGCCTCCGGCACACCAGCGCGAAGTTCGTCGCGCGTAACACGCGATATCCAATGAGTGTACAGCTTTACCGATGTTCTCATTCTAAAGGTATACTCTCATGGATATCGCGTGTCGCGCGCGACGAACATCGCGCTGGTGTGCCGGAG